AAAATATCTCTATTACTTACCAAAATATCCGGCCTGGGAGTTTTTATTGGTACACCTGTATATTTTTTAAAAATTTGCACATGTTTGCACAAAGTCAATATTAATTTATAATTTTTATTTATAGCTTTATTATAATATATAATTTTCAAAAATTTGTGACACACTTAAGAAAACTGTACCAGATGAGAACACTTTTCAAAATTCCTTTTTTTTTACTAAAAATTTGACTTTTTTTAATCGTTTTTTTTTTATTTTGAAATAGTGGCTCAAGAGTGGGATAGATGTAAACATTACCTACACATAATATTTTTAATTTAAATAAAATAAAAAAATAAACTTTAAAAATGTGGTCCTACGAAACCCTTGCATATTTTATATACTGCTCAGAAGCCAAGCTGAAATCCTTATAAAACTTATTAGCTGTGGCTTATTTAACGGTTACCCAACTAATTTGACTCACAGAGTTCCTGTGTTTGTTGGCAGAATGGCGGAAGTAATTTGCATTTTTTCAATAAATTCCTTGACGTCGGTTGCCGTTGTTTAGTCAAAAAGTGCATAACATTAATTCAACAATGTTACACTTTCTCGCTTTGCCATTTACATTTTTACATTCGGAGTTAGGTGTTTGGTGAGCAATAAAAAATGTTCTTCCGACTTACTTTTTCCGAATTTTACAAGTTCTTAACCCAGATTATCATGGAATTTAGAAGTTCGCAATTTAATGGATAGTGATAGTGGTGAAGTTAAAATAATTTTTGCAGCACGTATTTATTTCTATTCAAAACACTTATCATGACAACTCATCATGTCATACTGTCGTAAACAAATACTGTGCAGTACATTAACCAAGGGATCAAGCAAAAAAAAGATGATTAATTTAGTAGTTGTACATTGGACATATTGCATCGGGAAAAAAGGATTTTGAAATATCAAGAAATACTGCGGATCAATTTTTTTATGCATACTTTTCTCTATTTAATTTATTATGCGATGGATTTGATCAATGGTAGAATATTTATCTCGAAATCCTAATTGATGGAACGGGATAAATTGTTTTTTGTCGATTATCTCATTCAGTATTCTTAAGAGCAATTTCTCAAATAGTTTTGATATCACAGGTATCATTATGGTAGGGGAGCCAGTGACACTCGGTACATAATTGCTCAAGGCTAATTTACAAATTTATCGTTAATTGCCTTATAGAAGATTAAAATACTTTGCTGCAGACGCACTAGCAGCAGTGGTGCGCTCGATGACGATATCTTAAAAAAAACCGTTGCAGAAAATGATAATGTCATATATTTGATCAGATAATTAACTTTAAGCCTTCATGGCTCGCTTCGTTAGTGCGCTCAACTTTAGATTTGGCGGCCCGGGTTCAATTCCCGATAAGAACAATCCTAATTTAATTGTTGTTTTTAAAAAAAATGAAAAATTAAAAAATACGATTATTGCTGTTATTTATATTAAATACATTTTACTTATCATAAACCCTATAATTAGGCAATCAGTAAGTATATGTGTGGGGCGGGTTGGCACATAATTTTATACAATTACAAATGTAAAGATTAGATTATAAAAAATATTTGAGAAGGATACAAATGATGTTTTCAAAAGGCAATCCATTAATCTTTTCGCTATTTATTTTGTACTATTTTGATAACCTATTAGAATAGTACAAAATAAATAGCGAAAATATTAACGGATTATCTAACTGTAGGGATTATATTATGATAAATAAAATGTTTTTAAAATAAATAAACATCAATAAGAGTCGTATTTTTTCTGTTTTCATATATTTTCAATTTTCATATTTTTCAGGGTGATAGTACAAAATCAAACTATCATCAAAAAATCCCAGAGTAAATTATATCCTCGGTCAGTTGCAATATCGCAATGGCTTCGTGTGCCAGCTGAAGTTAACGTTGGTAAAAACGAATTTGTAAGCGTTAGCCTCTATTCTATCAAGAGAAGTGTTGCTAGATGTTGCCAAGATGGACTTACTGACGTAATTAAACTTAAATTTAGAATAGCATTGTAGAAAATAGTTGTTAAGCCTAAAGAGTGCTTTGAAAAATGACATTTTTATTGACATCGTAAATATCAATGACAGGTAACGTGTATCAAGAAATGTCAGTACAGTGACAGGCTAACAGTGATGCCAATATGAAAATATGTTAAATTACACGGTGCGATACACCCAATTGAGAAAATATATACGATAATGGCGGGAAATTTAAAAGTTTAAATATATTAATTACAAAATTACAAAGAAATTAAAAACATACATGTCACCTTCTTAAAAAAAAGAGACAGAACTGAATCCGAGTCGCAAAATCCAAAGTTGAGCGTGCTAACCAGAACTATGAAGGCTTATGTCAAGATAATTATCTAATAAAATTCGTGACATTAGCATTTTCTATAGCGGCTTTTTTGAGACATCTTGGAAGCCATATTCTACAAGGTAAGTATAAACAAAAAAAAAATTTCAATACACCGGAAAGTGTTACTGGCTCTTCTACCATTATTACCATAGCAGTTTTTTTCATAATAGTCTAATATATTGAGGCCTAAATGCTGCGTTTATTATATTGGTCGGTTTTACTCAACTACGAACAACTACTAGACTAATTTTGTTTACAAAAATCGAATTGCAAACATTCACGGTGTCATCCACGTAGTTGGCAAATTATTAAGAGAGAGTATGGGACCAACAAACATTAAAATTGTGAAACATTGTTGACCCATTAACGAATGTTATGGCTAAGTAGCTTGTAACCATAAAATCGGTATGGCGTTTTTGAAATTTGTAATTAACTGCCCGTTAACTTTAATTTTTCGATGGGCCGTTGATCGTTTGTTAACTGTTTCCCACAGTCAACTTTAAATTCGTTATGGCCTGTTTGAAATTTGTAATTAAATGCCTTTTAAGTTTCATTATTCGATGGGCCGTTGACGGCTTTTTACAGTTTCCCATATATGCAACTGAGAAATCATTATGACTCGTTTAAAATTTGTAATTACCTGCCTTTTAACTTTAATTATTTGATTATTTGACGGTTATTTTAACTGTTTCCACATTTAACTGTAAAAGTATGGTAAAAGTCAAAAGGCTTTTAACTGCTCAGACCCAACCCCAACAGTCCAGGAGGGCTCAATTCCGCGTTCATAGATGGAGACACCGATGATCCCTTGCTACATACTCAACTAATGGACATGTACTATGCGGTCAGTCTCGCATTGCTGACATTTACTATTCAGTATTTATTGAAAGTTCTTACTTTTAGATGTTATTAATTTATAATATTTTGTGAATATAATTTTTGTAAAGACAGACGTGGTCTATTCCCTTTAAAAGCTTGCTATCATGTTTAGAGCCTTTTGATGGAAAGTTAACATTAATATAGGAAACTGCTGGCCATGTGCAGACCTTTCACTACTTATGCCTGGTCATGTTACGAGCCTTATGCAAGACCACTAAAGGATAGTTAACATTAATATTATGGAAAACTGCTGGCCATGTGCAGGCGTTTCCAAACTTATCGTTGGTAAAGTGACGACAGCCTTCTGCTGCCCGTTGTAATAAAAAGTCGACTTACCAATTGCAGACCCCCACCAAAAGGCCACTACTTGAAGTAACGTACATACGTTTAAAGGCCGTTACCTTGCCAAAACAAAATTTTTGTTGGCGAGAGTCTTGTTACAACGATTGTGTATGGTTATAATTCGGTATTGACTGAACGTAAGGCTCTAAAGCACACAAGAAGCTTTCAAAATTTCATTAGGAAAGTATATTTGCATTCTTAATGCCACTTATTATCATCAGTTCGATGTGTTTTTCTTATTGCAACTATTATAGTTGTATGGTATTTTTCAGGAAAGTATGCAATTCATTTTGAAGTGTGATAGCAGTGTAAAACAAGCGCAGTAGACGTAAATACTGATACATTCATAAAACGCATGATCGCTGCTCCGAAAAACATACTCATACAAACCATCCCCACTCAAATTAGCAACTATCTCCTTCTTTCTAACGCGGCCGATGCGACAGCTCTGTCTGCGTAATAGTAAACACAATCTGAAACCCACAATCTTGACTACAAAATAATTTTATTGATGAAATTAGTTTCGGTCAGTGACCATCATCAGGCAAAGTAAAAACGGGCAAAGTTTTTTAAAACTGCCAGTGGTAATGACTTCAAAGAGTTATTAAATGTGAAGTCATTACCACTGGATTACTAAGTAACTTTAGCTTGAGGTTACATTTTAAAAATATTTGTCCTTTTTTACTATGCTTGATGATTGTTACTGACCGAAAGTAGTCGCTTCATCCCCTCTTTTTCAATAAAATTATTTTGTGGTCAAGACTGAGTTTTTTTTTCTTACGGATATACCACATTTAATATATGTATAACCTTCTTATTCACAATCTAAATGATTGCAATAAATAACTGCTTGATTATGAATGAATATATTAATCTAGTAGTTTTTCGCCGTTGGTTTTACTATTCATTTTCGTGGTATTTTCTTTAGCGTCTCTCCTGTGATCAGATTCGAACATAAAAGCTCTTTTATATTGATATTATTTAGTATTTCTCTTTGTATTTCTTTAGGACTAGTTAATATAACTAACTATTGTTCTCAATAGATTGCGAAAACATAAATTTTTTGTTTGCAACTTCTTGCCCACCTTCCATTTTCTGTTCGTATTGTTGGGTTTGTTTATTTTTTTACAGCTTTCCATAATAAGTAGAGGAAAAGACCCCAAAAAGACTTTTTTTGTAAATTAGAAATAAAATTCATCATTGAAATTTTTTTTATTATTGTTGTACAAAAACGCTTGCTTGGTGTATTAAAAAAACATCGCAACAAAGAATCTACATTAAAATAGCTATCTAGAGAAGTTATTGAACTTAAAGCTTGTTTTTGACAATTTTTCCATAAAAAAAAAAGGTTGCCTAATTTGAGATTCGCTGATGTCCCAATTTAAGACAGATTTTCTAATTTGGGATACTACTCAAAAATCTCTTTTCTTCGCAGAAAGAACATATAAAATTAGTATCTTCATGGGCCCACCTGCCGCAGTGAACACATTTTGCCCATTGCTCGCAATGCTTGTCCTCGAAAAATCTCCCCGAGCAAAATAAACATTCAGCATCACTTCCTTCGGATTCGTCTGAAGATGAACTAGCCAATTTCGCTTTCTGAGCTTGAACTAGAAGAACCCCGTCGTTTTTTCTTTTCTGTTCCAACCCCGAAGTGGAAGGTTGGTCCTGTTTTAAAACTGAAATATTTCGTTTTCGTGTAATTTCAGTAGATTTTTTTATCAGTTTCTTTGATTGTTTTTCTTCTGGTTCTAACCCTTCACTGATGATTTCTTAGGCATTTTTCCCTGTTCTTTTTTTTTTCTAAACTGTCTTTTTATTTATCTTTGTAAGGAGTTAAGGTAATTATTGGTGCTTTACCAGCCCTAACATTAGCCTTAGTTTCTCTGGTTTTGCATTCAGGCAGAGGACAATAGTTTCACTCTGAGGCTTATTTGCTGAGGATGGACTTGGTGTGTGTTAATTTCTTTCCGGCGTTGGTAGAGACATTGCTTCATTTTCATTTTGGTTCTTCAGGTGATCTTCCGGATTATTTGATTCTTCGGAGAGGTGTTCTTCTTGAACGCCTGTTTTGTTTCCATCACATTATGCACGCCAAAATCTTGACCTCTGAAGATGTTTCTATTCAAAGGAACTAGCCTTGTTTTTCTAAAACTATTGCACGATGTTTCCATAGTGGCAGCTTTATTGGAGGCTTTGCAAAAAATACTAGCAATTGCGTATGGGGATACAGTACTTAAATGGTTCTCCCGACGCCGATTTTCTATCTCCTGAGCGTAATAGGTTTTTAACGGAGACATACACGAAACTTCCTAAGGTTGAATTTTGTTGGTAGAATGTGGCGAAAGTCAAATTATCGTCACATAATTTTGTTTTTCCAAATCTATGAGTGAAATGTTTTTTGTATGGGAGTGGTGTCCATCCAATACAAAACAGGGTCAGCAGCTGTGGGTTTTGTGAATGTGATGAAATGACTTAACCATCTCGTAAAAATATCTAACTGAACTCAACCAGAAAAGTGACACTCGGTTACGCCTCCAGTTAATGCAGCCTTCATATTTTTTCGTAGAAAAATGAAGAATGGTGGTACATAAACTCCTGCAGCATTCATAAAGGCGATTACGGTGAATAGTTTACCTCTTTCTGCGGGAATATAATGTGGAAACCTGTTTTTTTTTTCTCTTCAGCGATAAAACCTTACTATGCTTATGTTGAACGATGGTAATTTTCGTTTTTGGTCGACATTGAACACCCTCTAGGAAGGATCTTGAAGCTTGAAATATTCTGCCTCTTAGAGATCAAAAAACGCTGAGACTTTTTTCGTGAGTGAAAGATTTGATACAAGCTGCAGACATGCCTTGAGGTGTTCTCATCGAAAGTTGTGGATGCCTCTTTAAAAATAACCTCAAACATTTTTTCTCAGCAGATTTACTAACTCCATTAAATGGATGCGACAACTTATTCCTAATTGTTAGTTGGAATGCCATTCGTTTAATATCTCCCGACCTCAGACCAAAAAATCGTTGTTCTATGGCTAATACATATTCAACTGGTTCGTTTTTTGGTTGTTCTTCGACAAGTTCTTCTGTGCTTTTATCTGATTTTTGAGGCTTTTAGATATCCCATCTCTTTATTACGCATAGCCTTCACAGCTTTCACTGTAGCCTGAGGGTCTCATTTCTTGTGTTTTTTAGGCATTTGTAATAAAACATCAAAATATTGTACTAGGCGCCTAATTTAAGTTAGTCTCAAATACAGCGACATTTGATGTCTCAAATTAGGAATTTTCGTTATAAAAATTGACAACAATATTTTAGGTTAGTTGTGAAAGAATACAGTCAAATTTTAATAAGACATCATCAGGTAACACCTAAACTAACTACTTCGACACATAAAATATTTTTGTTCCACTTACGTTGACTGCAAATCCCGGTTTATTTACACTATCAAAAAAACTTTACGAGTCAAATCAGAAGAAAAACGTACGTGCACACAAATAAACAAACTGACGTGCTCAACGAACTCTTTACCACTACAGTCTACTTTATTTCAGTAAGTTTACGCCACTTTTGTTAGATGGCGATACATATACGTTAATATACAGAGCTATCTCAAATTAGCCGCCTATCTCAAAATTGGGTCTCTCTTCCTCTAATCAGTGTTTAGTTCATCTTTGAGCTGTCTCAGCTTTTTGTTTGTCGACTTCTTTTTTATTTTTTTTTTTTTTTCGGATCTGTTGGGTAAGCATATTTAGTTTGTTTGTGTTTCTTTCATTTTTCATTTCTTGTCACTTCTTTCGAGCCGTTATTTCGTATTGTATTTAATCATGTATTCCTTTGGGTTAATTAATACCTATGGGTTTTTCTTCCATTTGTTGGATAATTCTGTTTCTTAATTCAAATCTTCTACCGCCTAATTGGAACATTTAATTACAGTTTTTCCGAAGTTCAAGTAAAAATATTTCCCAATATTTATGTTAGTTCATCAGATTGAGATTGACTTTCCTAGTAATAATATTTGGTTTATATGAAACAATTCATGTAAAACTGGTTCAGATCCTAATTTTGTTTTGATTAAAAAACAAGTAGGTACGAAAACAATGATTACAGAAAACATAGCAAGTAGGCCACACTACTGAAGCCAATAAATGCTGCACAAGTAATAGAACATCGCAATGTATTATTATATCAACCAATGCATAATATTTGGAAACATTAATTTAGTATGGATTTTAATTACGGTGATCAGATCGAAGTAACTTAGCGTAACGGATATCTGGTGCGTTAAAAAAATCATCTCGTTTCTCATCGATTTTGTAGCTGAATCTTCGCGAATCCGAACAAAAGCTGATCTGATTATAGACGATGATAAAACGCTGTGGTAATCTTTCCGAATGAAGAATACATTTGTTTGCAACCATGATTTATGACCCGAATACTTTATTAACTAGTCTATACAAAAAATTGCTCTGTCCAGATTTAATGTCAGGAATAATGATTATGATATTTTTAATGGTCTTCAAAGAAGAAAGAGGTTCTCTATTCGTCAGACCAAGGGCCATATATGCTTCCATAATGTTTTTTACTACTAACATGAGAAATCACTATTACTTACTCCATTCCTCTAATGAGAAGTAATATTTCTCACCCTAGGTAAATAATGATAATAAAAAAACATCTAAAATAATGAAACATTTTCTATATTTTTTAATGAAATGAACAGAAACTCTAATTATTAACTTAATTCTAAGCAAAAATCAAATAAACTCGGAAATTCAACACTGCAATAATTATTAAAATTTAATTCTATTAGTTTCATTTTGTTAATTTGACAACTAAACTCCCAGACTACTTGATATTTCGAAATATTTGAAAAATAAGTTGAAAATAACTAAAGCAGGGTTTATCAAATCTAATCAAATCAAATATGGTCATATATTAGTGTTAGTAGGTTTCTTTTATCTAAGGTTAGTAGTTATATATATATATATATATATATATATATATATATATATATATATATATATATATATATATATATATATATATATACTTCGGTTAAAAAGGCCATTATAAACCTTGCATTGCATAGAAATGCTAGGTAAATAATAGCTCACTTCTCAAGTGTAAAATGTACTATTAGATACCTAATACCTAATAGGTTTTAAAATAAAATAAAGAGCACTAAGAAGAAAATATATAAACAAACAACATATTAGATAAAATCTAGAACATTGACATTTATAATTCTAAATAAACAGATAGTGAGAATGTAATTTCTGTTTCACCCTTTGTTGCTATTTCCAAAAACATATTGTAAACTACAGCAGGGTTTTTCTTAGAGATAATTTTTGTCTAGTCAATAAGTAGTTGAAATTAGGGACCACCTTTCTTATCGAAAACTGGATTTCTGTAAATTTTTCTGATATGTTGATATGTAGAACTCAATGCTCTAACAAAAAGTTTCCATTGGCCCAAACCGATTCAACGACTAGTTTTCAAGGTACAGGATGTTAAACATCGAAAATACCAGTTTTTATGTAAGCATAAGCATATTTCTCATAACACACCAGTTTTATTTGTGTTTGTTGTAGAAAACATTGGGTGCGTTCACCAGACGGCAACAGTTGAGTAAGCGATCGCGTTCGGCAGGCACGATGGACTTTACGCTGAATGTCATCTGCTGCAAAATTTTACCCAGCGCGATGAATTTGCGCTGAGCCGACATATGCTTATACATGCGTGCTTTCTTAATTTTTAAAACGTACATAAGTATTATGGAAACTAATACAGAAAATATGTTAACTTACAGTTTGGTGTTTTCTGATGAGGATCAGCATCAGCCAATAATTATAAGGTTATGTTCAACAGTCTAATCTGACAGTTCTGTGACAGACAGAGACTCAATGGTCAACGGAGCGTTCAGCCAAATTCCATCTGCTGCCGGATGTTAATGCCAAGCCGTTTAGCACCCATTAATTATAGATAATTTGACACTAATATTTTATAAAAACTGGGTGTAAAAATTAGTTGATTACTGGGTGGTTCGGAAATATATGTTTTTTTTTTGCAAAAATCATTTATTTTATAACAGCATTAAAAGTAAGAATAATTATCATTGTACCATGAAAATATAGCTTAGGTTATTGCTTTTTGATGATACATCATATTTTATACAGAATTACTCATAAATGTGGTTACAGAGGGCATATATTGTTTTCGGCTTTAACGTTTAAACCAGAGATGTAACTACTAACAAATATCGTACGGTCCTGAATAAGACATATTCTAAGGGACACAGGAGGGTCTAATATTTGCTGTTGTCATATGTCTATTTCATTATTCTCGTTTTGTTTATAAAATTATTTACATTAATTCAACCTATTTTATTGCAACTGAACCCAAAAAATTTTGAATCATTAGTTATATCAAATTTAATTAAATAAGATGTAATTTCACTAAATTAAAAGTAATAATTTTCAATAAATTCCAAAACCTAGTAATCGTAAGTTGGAAGTGGCAACAGGGCTTACACCGTTACGTTGTTTATTATAAGCGCACATCGCTTACACATTTATTCTTTGATAAAATAAAGTTGTATCTGCGTAAAGTCTTTCTTTTTATCCCCTCTCTTACTTCTCAACTTTCGTCTTCTCGGCGCAATCCTTCAAATAGAGTATATCGATTGTCGACTTCTTAATCTTGGCATCGTGAATATGGGTGTTATTGAAATACACGTACATATTAAAACTGGGTATTGCGCAGATCCCCACTGAATGTAGAAAAATATTATTTTTTTAAAAATACCCCTTATTAAGGGAGTTATTAATTTTTGAAAATTAATTCTAAAACAAACATACTTCACTGATATGTTGAGGATGACCTATATAAATTAGGTTTATTTACCTATTTTAAACATCAACAGTAATTAATATGCAAGTTTTTGTCAGATGATAAGAAAACTAGTCTTGTAAGAAATAACCATGTTGCCAAGATTTTCGAATTAATTTCTATTTCCGAAGACTGGTTTTTACTACCCTCGTTATCAAAAAACTAGAATATTTGATAAATGATTGTTTTTAAACTATACATTTTTGAAACTATAGATTATTAAAATTTTAGTTGATTTACGAATCTGGCTAACACGAGCGCGTCATTTCCAAGTTGGTAAAAAGTGTTGTTACGATTACTTTTAAATATTTTTTTACGATTTACGATTTACGAATATTGAACTAACGGATATAGTGCTGGTTTATGGGGCAGCTGGAGAAAATTCTCGGCAAGCACAAATCCTGTATCGCGAACGGTTTCCAAATCGGAGAATTCCGGACTGTCGTACGTTTATTTCAACTGTTCAGCATCTAAGAGACCATGGAAAATTTGAGAGTGTCAATGCAGATCGAGGGAGAACAAGAACACAAAGAACATTGGCGGCCGAAGAAGAAATATTGGAAGCTGTTGAAAACCGGCCTCAATTAAGTTGTAGAAGACTAGGTCTTGAAATTGGAGTGTCCTCATTTGTTGTGTGGCGGACACTTAAAGAACAAGGTTTACATCCTTATCACATCCAAAAAGTCCAGGCCTTATATCCAGGTGATGAAGAAAAGAGAGTGGAGTTTTGTGAATGGATGATTCAAAAATGTGTTGATATTCCTGATTTTCTAAAAATAATATTGTATACTGACGAGGCTTCATTCACTCGTGATGGCATGTTCAATATGCACAATACGCATATTTGGAGTGATGAAAATCCTCACGCCATTAGGGAAACTGGGCATCAAAGAAAATTTTCAATAAATGTTTAGGCTGGCATAATAGATCAGTATTTAATCGGGCCTTATGTTCTCCCGAACAGATTAAATGGGCCAGGATATCTCCACTTTTTAGAAGATATTTTGCCAGTACTCCTAGAAGATATACCGTTACAATTAAGGCAACGGATGTGGTACCTACTAGATGGCGCTCCTCCTCACTTTGATTTAAACGTACGGCAGTTTTTGAACATTAGATTTCCTCAAAAGTGGATAGGCAGAAATGGACCTACTAAGTGGCCTCCGAGATCTCCGGACTTAAATCCATGCGATTTCTTTTTGTGGGGTCACATGAAACAACTGGTTTATAATGAACCTATTAATAGTGTTGAACAATTAACCAATAAAGTTAATGCGGTAGCCGAGGAACTACGACAAAATCCAAGACTAATTTCTAATGTTCAAAGTTCTTTGGAAAGACGATTGCAAGTGTGTGTAAATAATAATGGACGGCATTTTGAACAATTACTGTAATAAACTTTATTTTGAATTAATTGGTTTTGCTACGGCAACAGTGCAATTTCTATGGGTAAGTTCAATTTCGATTTATTTTACTTCTTTAAATATGGAAACTAGTAGGTCGGAAAAGGGGACTCTTCCCCAATATTTAAATTTTAGAATTTGAAGTTAAAATTGGTGCCAATCGTTTTTGGTCATTACATACTATTCCCCATTTTAATATGTACGTGTATTTCAATAACACCCATTTTATCAATGAATGGTTATATTTCTGGTTTAAACTATGTGTCCTGAATTTTTAATATTACATAAAATAAATGTAGAACCTGTCACTTTATGTCATACATGGTGTTAAGCCTATTGCAGAAACTTTAAAAATTAAAAAACATATATTATTACATTTTTACATTAACAGAAGCTTAGTATATATACCTTACTGAGTAAAATTTTGTTGTAATCCTATGACCAGTTTTCCTGATATGTTTTGTTTTGGTTGAATTTTAATTTTTTTTATTAAATATGTTCACTTTAATACATTGACTCCTAGACAACCCATTTAGGTGCGCCTGAAGATGAACCTACTTTGAAACACTTCGCTAAATAAATTGACATTGTGAGACTAAATTTTCATGGTACAATGAAAATTGTTCATATTT